AATCGCTATCCGATGACTTTAGATAAGCAATGTGAATAATAATAAGCAAGCAAAAGACTTATTTCAAGCATTGGAAACATGCATTTAAACAGAAAAATCACATCCTCTACCAAGGTTCCAGATCATTTTATGTGATCCTAATATAGCTATCCTTCACTTCAGTCTTTCAAGAGACTGTATTAGGCAGGTATTTAAAAGGTTAAGAAAAGTAACCTTTTATTCTCAAAGTCGTATATTTTTCTTATATCTCCTGCCTTAGAAATTTTTTAAGAAAACACTGGTAATAGACAAAATACAAGAGAAAAGGGAAGGAAAGAACCTAGCTCTATAAATTATAGTGTACTTTGGAAGACTATTTTAAACAAGTGGCTTGGATGGTGAATTAATGCTTTTCCTCTGTTGACTCATTTTCACTCTGTGAACAGAAAAGTATTTATTTTAATGACCAGTTTTCAATTTCTGGTACAAGTCAGGTCTGAAGTAAAAACGATCTGCTATAAAAGCAAACTGTTTTCCCTTCATGTGCTGGAACTTATCCAAAAAGTTCCCCTGTAGGGGTGGGTGATATTCAAAAGAATCTGACACCACTCAAAGATCTCTATTACATGTCACTGAACTGAACTAATTCATTTACAAGAGCGGCTTCTGACTCCAGCATTTCAGTCCTTCCTGTCTATGATTTTACCCATTTATTGAACTTTTTCTAAATAACTGTTTCATCCCCTCCTTTTAAATATATTACCAAGCTTGTGATTTAATAGTCTTGTAAGATGCATCTAATAGCAGGAAATATTTATCTATGGGAAACTGCTTAGTCAAAAATCATTATCTCTATTCTATGTCCAATATAAACCCTTGTTATTCATAAGAATTTGATGTAAGCCTTGCAAACATTTCTTTTTAAAGATTTATTTATTTATGCATACAGAACTGGGGTATAAGCCAGAGGTGCAGGGCAGTGAGAGACTTCACCAGAAACAGAGCGGGGAGCACAACAGGCAGATGGACAAAGTACACTGCTGAGGGAAGCAGCAGCGGGTCAGGAGAGGTCTGCCGCGCCATGTGGATCACCTCCAGGGCTGTGGGTTGAACTTGCATTGAAGTGGCTGTGGCCAGCTTGCAGTGCTGCATCTTAATCAGTTGTGCCACCAGGGAGGGCACTTGCAAACATTTTTATTGTTGCCAATAACAATACAATAATTTTATTATTTTTAGTAAAATTTCATTTCTACCTGTAGGTCTTCATGCTTTATTCCTGTTATGTAACTGCACAATTTTCCTTGGACATTTTATAATGATGTACAAACAATTTTTTTGAACTTTAATTGGAACTTCCCTATATTCTCACTTGCAAAACTGAGCTCAAAGTTTGGGTTATTTTAAGAATTAAATATCATATTATGTATACTGCACCTAGTCTAGTATCTTACATACAGTAAGCGCCAAGCAGCAAGCTCCTTGCATCCTTTTTTACATTTCCATCCACTAATTTGGGTTCTGGTCTCTTCTAGCTGCATGTTCCTGGCACATAAAGCATTATTTGCCATAGAGTCACACTTTCAAATAATAATAGCTGCATTCTTCAAGCGCTTTCAAATATCAGTAAGCATTTGTATAAAATCAATTAATTTGCTCAATTGTTTAATAACAATTGATTATTAAGTTGGTATTAGTTTACTAATTATATTTAAATTAATTTTGTTTAAAATGTCCTTTCAAAACATTTTTTTTCTCTATTTGCTTATGGGCAATGAAAGGCTTCAACAGAGAAAGAGTGGGGAGCAGAACAGGCAAATTGAGGAAGTACACTGCTGAAGGAAGCAGCCGGTGTGTCAGGAGAGGTCTACCGGGCTATGTTGATCACCTCCAGGGCTGGGATCAAACTAGCACTGAAGTGACTACAGCTAGTTTGCAATGCTGTGCCCTACCCTGTTTCGCCTCTTCTTCTATCTTTTGTTTAAATAATTACTGGGAAAGTTAATTTAGCTAAGGTCAGATTATCAAAGTTTTGAATTAAAATCTAAGGGGTTTTTAAATGTAATTTATAATATATGTGAGTCTATAGAACAACTATATTAACTTGGGTGAAATTAAAATCTGAAAAGGTTTTTAAAAGTCATCCAGAGTAGAAGAGCAAGAATAATTAATAATGTTGTTTTTCTATAAGGAAACTGCATGTAGTTTATGTTTTTGCTTTCTATTCTCTTTATCACTTCATTAAGAGAAAAAAATCAATACCCATTCTATGACAAGATGAATATTTCCCCTTGTGTTCTTCCCCAAAGAATGCATAATTTTACAAGGTCCAAGTAAAGATATCTTCTACTTAAAAATACTTTCTGTATCTCAGGATCTGTTAAAAGAATCCTGGAACTTGCCTTCTCTAACAAGTGGCAATGATCTTACTGAACTGTAGACATTAGTTTGGAGGTCTTTAAGAACCTTTCATTTGTGTTGAATTAAATCACATGTTTCATTAATTATATAGGTCATGCATTTGCCTAGGAGTTAAAATATTCACTTTCAAAATGAAATAAATGAAGACCAGCTGGTGGAGAGGACATAAGGCAAAAAGCATGATGTATTTTAGAATTTATTTATTTTCCTTTTAAGTCCTTGAATCCCTCATGTGTGGTGCCTTGCCATTTCTCCATTTTAAGTTTATCTAGTCTGGTTTCATGTCTTGAAGCAAAAATTTCAGGGGTGGGGATAGAACTGACTCAAAGTTGGGTGGGAAAAATAAAAACCAACAGTGTTCTCAGTTCCAGTCTATGGAAAAAAAAAAATCCATAGAAGTTATTTTCAGGAAAAATCCCAGTGTTCAAAATGTCTATTATGAACAAGACAGGACCATAATGATTTATTTAAAAAAAAAATAAGAACATGGTTATTTTTATGGAATGCGTTCAGAATGTGTGTGTGTGGGGGGGAGGAGAAGTGATGGTGCTTTAACAACGGAGGTATTACCTGGAAGACTCTGTCTCACCTTTTTGCATGTGTACCTGTGGGGTAATAACGGGAACAGGATATGCCGTCCCAGGCGCAGTAAGGGTCTCGAGCCAGGCAGCAGTCAGCACAAGCACTTCCATACATGTCACACTGATGGAACCTGACCTGGGCCACGGCAGACGGAGAGCCAATATACAGCTGTTGCTACAGAAATTAAAGAAGAGAGAAGTCACTCACAGAAATGAACAGAACTTGCACTGAGCTCTTATATCTAACATCTAGGTTTTCATATTTTTCACAGCCACCTCCATGAAATTTGCTTAAATTACCACAGTTGCTCAAGATTGATAATGGTAATACTGATATCTTCATTTTTCAAGACTTGAGGAAACCTTTACAGACTTAGTGGGAGAAGTGCCAAACTCACTAAAGAGAGCTTAACAAAAAATCAAGCAGCTGAGTCTTTTATTCACTATGCAAGCAGCAAAATACTTACATCATTTAACAGTTTAGGGTTTCTTTAAACATCTATGGGGACATCAGATGAGAGATTGAATAAGCAAATGAGCCTTTGAATGCTGACCTATAATACTTGGAAGTGTGATATAGGCATAGAAAGTTGGAATAAACTGTTAAGACACATTTTTAACTACAAAAGACAAGTAGTAGGAAAACTAACTTTGTATGCCCCCTTTTGCCTAAATATAAAAGGTCATTTATAAATAAATTTGAAGATATATAGAGGCAGTCACCAGAGAAATTTACTTCACAAACTTATTCCAGTAGTGTGAAATGAAGGCTGGTGTTTCGCTGTATACTTTATTACCGTTACTGCCATTATTACTTCAAAAACATCAGAAAGAAAATAATTATGGAATAATGTCCTATAATGACTGTAAAATATAAATCTATCTCTACCTTTCTAGAAGACGAAAATGAATTCTAGCATATATAATTCAGTATACATTTTTATTAGAATAAAACTGTAGCTTATTGATATATAAGTACATGTGTTCTTTATCCTTTCACTTTAACTCACATAAAACACACACACACACACACTTACTCTCTTCGATGAAATCTCCATAAAAATAATAGGCACTGGATCCTGAAAAAAAAATGTCCCCTTTTAAGAAAAAGGAATTATAGGCACATACCTTAATATGGTTGCAAATTACCTGAAATCTTTCAAGTAGTATGAAGTTCTATACGAAGAGTGTATAGTTTCCATTTCAATAAATCAAATATGCAAATATAATTAAATTAAAATATAGCTTTCTTTTAAAAATTCTTGTCTAATGGAGTGGAACAAATTACTAGATGAGAAAAGCTGTGAGTACTCCAAGCAAGTTACTATTTGTCCTTGAAATGTAACTTTATGTTTGTATTTGAATATGACTTGTGCTTTGGAAACTCAAAAATCTTTAAATAAAATAACGGAGTGTTCTTTTGTCTGAAGCAGTTGAGATATTAGAGTGAACACTGTGGGTGAGTGAAGCATGTACACATATGGAGATGTAAAGATGTACCCTGAAAGCTATGTAGCTCTATAAATGAATGACAAATGAAAATAGTATAAAATAAAAAGTTGAAGTGCTAAAAGAAATTGCAAATTTTAAAATGCTAGAAATAAATTTTGGTTTCACAATATAAAGATATGGAAATTCTATCATATTTCTAATGCACCAAGTGCTCATTAATTGATTTAACCCAAAACTAAACAGCACTTTTCTGTTGGTTATCAGGGTCAACCACTATGAACCCAAGATGCTTTGAACAAGATGAATAACCCTACTGTCTTAGTGCTATGTCACAGTAAAGAGGATCTACTGCACAGTTTTGAGAACCTATGTGATATTCTAAGGACAGTGATTCAGATGAGAGTGTCTCTAAGGAGCATCAAACACTCAGATCAACTTTGCAAGTGTACAAGCAACAAACAGGTGGGATAATTGCCCTTTAAAAAAATTAGTCTTTGAAAAAGAAAGTTTGTTTCTGTGTTGGGCTTTTGGTTTTTTTTCATTAAAATATGTTAAATGACAGAACCTTTTTTGCATGCAAAGTACCTGCATTTACTTAGGCACAATATTTCTTAGGGGTTCATAGGAGACAGTATGGTACATGTGGTTGCATCCACATTAGAGCTAAACTTTGGTTCCTAACCTGAATTAAAATTTTACATAGAGATGCAAATGCAAAATAAACAAAAACATATCTGCTCTGGTTGAGACAGGAATGTGATTAGCTATAGTTGTGGCCATGAGGAATCTAATCTCCAGGAGACCCAAGACAAATGATTTTTCATCAATAAAAAATTGTCACATACAAACATGTGTACATCTGCAATTGATCTTCACTGTTGGCAGACTGCACATTTGCAAATGTGCCTGCTCACTAACCTTTGCTTGGAATCCTGATACCAAGGCTTGAAGTGCTCTGTGGCCACTGACACAGGCCTAGGTAATGATAAAGCACTTAAGATGCCCCTGTCCATGTTCCCTGTTGCAGTCAATCAAGTGATATTTCACTGTCTTCTTTCAGTCCTCACATTGTAAATGCATTTCTTACTCACGATCTATGTAATGCCACATTTCTGGTGCCTTTTGGGGAGATGTTAATGCTTAAAATGGCCCTCAGCATAGTGCTGAAGTGTGGTCTAGTGCTCTAAGCTCCAAAAGGATGTGATATTGAGAAATGTTGTGACCGATCTTATTTGTCCAGGCATGAGATACAGTACTGTTGGGCATAAGCTTGTTGTTAATCACCCAACTGTATACAGCAAGTGAGGTGTCTTCAAAGCTATATACCACATAGTTGCCAAAATTGTTGTGGACAGACCTAACACTGTGCTTCCCAGGGTCAATGGTCAGTATTTACTACTTGAGTGTTCAGTTAAAAGACCATCACAGCCTTCAACATGACACTGTCTGTGTGTGTGTACAACTGTTTCCAATATTATTTTGGACTTCTCCTTTTGAGCAGATTATTTGTATAATTGATAAACTATAACAAAAAGCAGTACACTTGTCACACTACAAATTCCACAATGTGTAACGTACCGCTTTTTTAAATATCAGTATTGATAGCACCTTTGTGCAAGATGTGACTATGATGATAAAAATTCTGGAATTCACATATTAGTTTCCTCATTTGAAAATCTATGGTAAACAAATAATGCATCAGGAATTTAAATCACATCTCACTTACAGTTAACTCTGAATTCCTAACATTCCTGCTAGAAAAAAATGACATAATATTTTCCCTATTTATAATTCACTTAAAATTGTCTGAAAAAAAATACCTTGAATATCTGAAGTTCTTCCAGAATTACTTCTTCCATTGACTCTGTTTCTTGGTTATAAATTGTGATCACTTTCAACACAATTCCATTATCTGTAAGAAAGAAAATAAAAGATTGAGAGAGATAAACTAGAAGCTTTGTTGAATAGATTTCAACCAATTAACACTTATAGGGACTATGGTTTCAAATAAGAAATGAAAGTTAGATACATGAAACATCTAAACACTGCTAGCTATATAACATGACTTACAATATAATCACATTTCAATTAGCAACAATTTAATTTAATATGCCTAGCCAAATATTAAGACCAAGCACTATATAATTTGGTTTCAAATAGTTTAATCGAAAAACCCAATTAAAGGTTCGGCAGTCAAAATGTCTTTTGATATTAATGGAATGTAAGACAGATGACAAATTATCTAAGATTTAAGATGTAAAATGAAAGTAAAATTTTTACCTCAAGCTACCTTCTTGATAAGAAACTATACCTTTACTTTTAGGAAATTTTCTAAGGAATATGCTGTGGAAAATTTCATGTGTGTGTATGTGTTTGTGTGTGTATTTTTATAGGTCCATATATGATACACATAAAGCATATATAAATATACACAATATGATGAAATTTTAAGTACATACAGTAAGCCATTCTGTATACCACTGATCATAATTGTCAATAAATTTATAAATGTGCATTTATAGATCAAAATACCATCTATTTATGATATTTTGGGCTTGTAACTTCTGATAAAAAATTTTAAATTTAGTAAAAATATAAATATTATTTGTTCATAATAATACTTTGTTATAATGCTAGAAAAATAACTCAGGAAAAAATAAGCACATCTGAGGTGCTGGAAGTCACTAAGAGAGAATTTGTGGCCAAGTAATTTTAAGTTTCTTGAAGAAATCTGATACTTTGTTCATCTCAGCTCCACAGTGCAGATCATATTATTAACATTAACTTACTAAAATAAATGAATAAAATACAGCCTGTACTAAGAAATTAATTTCTGGAAATCATTTAAATGTGTCAGTGTTAGGGGGAAAGGATGGACTAAAGGAACTCTGCAGAGTTTTCTGGACTCCACCCCTTACTCCAGCTTTCTGGACTTCACCCACCCTTTACTTCAGTGATTGCAAACTACAATTCCCAGCAGTACCAAAGAGACAACTGCGAGGTCTCAAGGATGGGGCTAAGCAGGCATTCTGGGACTTTGGAGGAGATATATGTAGGGGCCATTTTCTATGTTTTCTCTCTTGGGACCACGTGGCTGGTGGCTATTAAGCGTGTTACTTGAGTTCCAAGTCAGTGGAGCTGGTAGGATGTTCTAGTTACCTTGTATCTCTCTCTTTCCCTGGGTTGTTCCTTTTCCTTTCCCCTTTTGTAAATAAACCCATTATTGACCCTTTTTGTGTGTGCCTGCAGTACAATTAAATTTTAAGCAGAAGGGTGAGGACTCATAGACAGGCAGCCCAGTTCATGCTGGGTTGCCCTGTAACATCAGTACTTAAATCTATTTAAAACAATGTTACTGGAGAAACCCAAGCACCACTTCTGATATTACATCTGATTTTTAATCTGAGCATGTTTTAACATCTCTTTGGAATTATAGATTATATATGGTGGTTAATATATGGTAGAATGCTCATTCTTATTAATGGCAACTCTATAGCAATAACTGTGATACATAAGGAAAAAACAAAGAAGTGGCCACTTTAAAGACTTTTTAAATGGTGGTAGAAATTTAAAGTACTTGACAGAAATTGCTCTGCATACAAAATAATTCCAAGTTTTCCCCCACAAGTCAGATCTAATAGCATTGGCTGAAATTAGAAATTTATTTGACAACTTTCCTTTTAGCATATCTATTACAGTGTTTATTAAAGCATGGTATTATAGCTTTGGTTTAAACATTTACCTCTATTATAGTTACACTTGGTCTATTTGGAACAAATGGCTGATTTGTAAGGCCTGAAAGCATTATTGTGAGTATAGATTTAGAGAAAGCTGGTCCCAAGCTGTTGAACAATTCTGAGATATGACTAAGCAAACAAAGGAGGCAATGGATCTGGATGACTAAAAGAATCATTCTGGTCATGGCACCCTACTTACTTTGGGAAAGGTACAGGACATGATTAAAACCAATTATTCACTCCTCCACTTATTATTTATTCAAATGTATTAAGTATAGACCATGCATCGGGAATTGAGTGCTATAACTGCCCCCCAAACCTCTCTTGCCCTACAGTGAATGAGTAGTTTACAGACAGACAACTGGACCAACAGTAGATTTGTGGGTATGTTTTAAAAAAAAATATTAAGAAAGTTATAGATTTTAAGAATAAACTTAAATGTCTCTGAGTACTTTCTAATCTTTTACCTGTTCCAATAAAAAGGACATCATAATGGCCATCCTCAGCTTCTACTCGATCCACCGCTATTTGATTCAGGTTATATTTTCCATCGGTTTTTACCAGTATTGGTTTCTTATGCGCAGGTTTTATAGGCTCGTACATAAGTGGATGGCTTCTGGCAAATCGGATGGCATCATCAGGATAGTCTTTGGTTGTTCCGTACCTCCCTCCATTCACTTTGCTAGCACACTGAAATAAAAGTGGAGGAGCAATTATTTTCTTTCTTAAATCTAAAAAGCCAATTTATAACCAAATATCAGAAAAATTGGAAAACTGGATGTGTCCAGTCCATTAACTAGGCATTGAGAATGTTAGGTAAACATGTATTCTTCATTACAAAAAGGAAGCCTGCATTAAAGCCTTCAAGGAAAGACTAAATGATTTCCAATATGCATACTAGAAATAAATGAAACAGTTAAATTCTGGAAATATGATGTATGTTTAATATTGGGACTGTATGGAGATAGTAAAAAAACTATAAATACTTGGATTGTTTTCCCAATTTTCTGAAATGTAGTGTTACATTGTAAATTAAATTTTGAAAGTTAACAATAAGTTTTTCATAGCAAAGCAAAACTTATCTTTGTTGTATAGAATCTTCCCATCTAGTTAGGGATCATAATTCAACAAAACAGCTCCCTATTATTGAAACTATTACATGATGGGTGGTGGTTGCAATTGGCTCAGTGCCTACAGAATTGTAGTGCTGTAACTGAACCTTAACATTCCATCATCATTAATTACTGAAGGAAAAATAATCCTCTTTGGTCTACTGTAATCTGTACAAATTTGCATTATTTTTGTATGGATTTGAATCAATGAATTGAGAAAACCAGAAACATTTGCTATAGCATGCTCCAATTCTCAAATCACTGACTCTAAAAATAAATGTTCAATGGCACCTAAGTTACTTCTTGGAACACTTTTAACTATATTCATTCATGCCCATTATTAAGAGCTCCCTCATTTTGCGTATTTTCCTCTAGAACCAACAGCAATTGCAATGATTATCTTGATAAAAATTTTCCACTTTAGAGTATAAGTAGAGTAGTTTCGTAATCAGATTCTGCTACAAGGACATTTTTAATGGTTTGTTTTTCAAAAAATCAGGCCATATTTCTTAATTTAGCATGAATTTTTCACTTGAGCGTACTTTCAGAATATATAATTGGAAACATTTTGGACCAGCCTGGAAGCAGTTCAGTAACCAGTCACTTCCTCCAAATCTCCTTTAAGACCATGCGGTTTCAAGAGGCATTTCCAGCAAAGCCACAGGAGTGGGTTTTCTCCATTTAAATTGCAATTTCAACCAATAGAGTGAAATAAAATATACTTTATGTCTTACTGGAAGTAATAATTTTAAGTTAGTGAGAGAAAGATTGAAATGGCAAAGCCTTACACTTGTTAATGGAGGTAAGGTTTGTTTCCAGTTTGATTTTGGCTCTGCAAAAACAGTTTTACTTGACTTGCAAGTACTTGTGCAAACAGCATAGTGATGGGTTCCACCAGCTGCTCATAAAAACGGAGACTGTGACTTGAATGACAAGTTAAATGTTTATTCTCCAGGGCCCATGTAGTACACACAATGATCCTACATTTTCCCCACCTATGACAGAAAAATCATTATCATCATTTTTTTTAATTGTCATCATTATTTTGAAATATGTTATTAAGGAAAAAAGTTTGGATAACCAGCTGGGGATATTTTAGTAGCACCAGTTCAGAGGCAAGAGGTAGAACTTTCAGTACTCCAGCAACACTTTTCAGTTGGCACGTTTCCTATAGGAGGCCAGCAAGGACATTAAATGAGGTGCTAAGTATTCTGAGGGGGCAGAGGAAATCTTTTCTGATGTTTTAAAAGTAGGAAATAAAGGGGAAATCTGACTTAGGGGAGAATGAGGCTGACACAAACATTTGATTATAAAAATTTGGTAACATCACCTTGCTTGGGAAATTACCAGTTCTTCTGAAGAGGCTAAGAGGAATATGATGCTCATGTTATTGGATGTATTCATCATTGCCCTTAAAAATAAAATTTTCGTTGGAGCTAGTTAAAGCGCCCATGATAATACATACTTTGTAATGCTACTAAGATATATACAACATAGATGATATTTTTTTCAATAAATAAGAATACAACTAGATATGAGGAGTGGTATTTCTTTGTGATGCAAGTAATATTTTTAGGTGTAGAACTTCTTAAGTACTTAATGCAAAGTTTTGCGATGCATCTATAATAGTGGATAAAATATTGTTAAAAGAGCCTTTAAAAAACAAGTATACTTTGATAGATGTCTAAACTTACAGAACCAGGCCTTGGATAAGGAACTTTTCCTTCATAGAGCGACCAGTGGTATTCAGGCCCTTCCTTGTGTGCATATGGCCCATTAAAAGCTGCTCGGATGCTGGACATATGATAGACACATATAGCATGCCCTCTAAAGATATTACTGGAAAAAAAAAAAAAAGAATTACTATTCTGGAACTATGACTATCACCGAATCAAAATTTTCAGACTACATAAAGACTGAGTCGTTTACATACAATGTTACAATCTCTTAAGCACAGGATATTATAGAAATATTAGTTATTATATTATTTCAGGTATTAAAACTCCCAAACTTAACAACTTTATTTATTAATGTAAATTGAGAATGATATTCTTAGAATCATAACAATATTTCACTAACTTATTATTATTATATAGTAGGTTTATATTTTAAGATCTGGTATTAAAAATATTAAAAGAATCATTCCCAAGTATAATAGTTATTTATCTTAAAATTAGTGTCTTCATATGTATGGTTCTATCTTCTGAGTCGACAGTGTTTCTCCTAATCTCCATAATGTTAATGCAAATTCTATTTAAATTTTATTATAAATCACAGGGCATATGTTAAAAGAACAATTTAAATTCTCATGCAAATCTGAGGCTTTGTTCCATTCTTTAGCTTGGGTATGGAAGACATTAAACTTACAATATATTCTTTCCTATAAGTCACTGAAAACAGGACAGTAGCAGAAGATAATTGAGATGAACTGAATTAATTTTGGGAAAAAGCTTATATTATTAAAGTAAGATTCCTTACTTTCAGAACTAGTAGCAACTGACTTTTCGTCTGATAAATGTTCTATTTGTTGATGATCAAGATAGTAGTTGGTTAACTACAAGAAGTTTTACTGAGGGCATTTGGAATAATGTTCTGCAAAAGGACTTTTAAAAAGCTTTAAATAAGTATCTGGCCATATTTCTTAATTTGGCATGATCTAAGTGAAATCCACATTTCCCCAGCTTCTTTATGATGAGAATCACAATTATTTTGACTCATAAAACAGTTAATGTTTGTGAAAGTTCTGTGCAAAATACAAAGGTCTTTATAAGTGTAAAATTTCCTACACTCTGAGACACCTGTGGGGCAGCAGTCATGCTACTGTCTCAGGACATCAATTCACACATTTTATTACACATCTTGAAGCAATTGGTAATGTCTCTGATAGTGAGAAAATCAGAGATGTCTCCCAACTAAAAGGCAATAAACCTTTGATCAACATGTGATGAGTATCAACATTTATGTAAGGTAACAGCTGGTGAGTCTTCTTTCCAGATTTAGATAAAAATCGAACAGTAAAAATTGAAATTATGGAAAAAAGTAACATCATGTCTGAAATCTCAGGCAGACCCATAATGTCATCATTTAAGAAAATGGCTTATAAACTGCTCAGAACAAGCTATAAAAAAAGCTATCCTGAACATCTCATAACCTGAATTTATCATTGAATGCCATGGAATTATCATTCAATGTGTAAATTCTTCACTGGCATCAGGAAGAAAATTAAATAAGGAAAAGTAGACTTTCTATGGACTGTGATAACAATCTACATTTACTACTTTTTTTGTATAAAGAAATAATTGACAGAAAAATTGTTTCCATGTTTCTCTGCTGAAGAAAGGTCTCCTTAAAATAGTGGGATAGAGGGCCTACCCTGGTGGTACAGCAAGTTAAAGCACAGCACTATGAAGCTAAAGCCACTTCAGCATGAGTTCGATCCCCAGCCCTGGAGGTGACCCTCATGGCACCACAGACCTCTCTTGACCCGCCCACTGCTCCCCTCAGCAGTGTATTTTGTCAGTCGGCCTGTTCTGCTCTCCACTCTGTCTCTGGTGAAGCCTCTCACTGTCCCTGCACTTCTGGCCTGTACCCCGGTTCTGTATGCATAAATAAATAAATCTTTTTTAAAATAGTGGGATAAATGTCGAAGCAGCTTTACTGTCCTTTTTCAAAAATAAACATGAGAAGTCACCTGTTAAATTAAAAAAAAAAAAGCACTGTAGAAAGAATGTACACAAACAAGATAACTATATAACAGCTTAAAGTCACTGTAATGCCAGAGCACCTGAAAAATATCACTCTATTCCTACCCAGAGAACGGAGGTATCTCTGTATTTCTCATTCTAGTCACCTCACCTCAAACCGACCTTATTGGTAATGACATTCAAGAAATTATATGTGTGTGTGTGTGTGTTGTAAAGGTACACATATTAGATGCTACATATGTAAGCATATATAAACTCTTCTTGACATTAAAATCTCAGACATCCATTATGCTATCATGTAGTTTCAACTAAAATTGATTATAATAATATCTGTTAATTCATGTATCAGCACACAAAATTTATTATTCGATTAGTTTTCCCTGTACTCATCCATGAATACAAAAGAATGTAAAAAGAGAAAAGTAGGGCCCTCCCTGGTGGCGCAGCGGGTTAAAGCACAGCACTGAGAAGCTAAAGCCACTTCCGCAAGAGTTCGATTCCCGCCTGCCCCGCATGTGACCACATGGCGTGGCAGACCCACCCACTGCTCCCCTCAGCAGTGTACTTCGTAGATCTGCCTGTTCTGCTCCCCACTCTGTCTCTGGTGAATCCTCTCACCGCCCCTGAGCCTCTGGCATGTAATCCCAGTTCTGTATGTACAAATAAATAAATCTTAAAAAAAAAAAAAAAAAAAAGGAGAGAGAAAAGTAATAGCCTATAAGACCTAAGGGAAACTTATTTAAATGTGAACATTGAGGGTAAATCATAAAGGTGTTTTCACTATGAATCTACACAGAAACTGGACAACCAGAATAAAGCAGTTAGCAAAATGCTTTATGTTTAAAGAATAAAGCAGTGTTTCTTGAAAATGTTGACAAGAACTGATATAAATCAGTGTTGGAGAGAAAATCATTTCAAGCAGAAGTAATGGATAAATAAAATCTAGGGGTGGGGAATATCAAAATAGACAGTGGGATACTGTTAAGGTATTATCTTGTCAAAAGTAGAGTATTAAAGAGCTTACAGGAGAAACTTCCAAAGGTAAGAGGATAAGAATTGATAAAAAGCCTTGAATCCTGACTTAGAAAATTCTGATTATTAAAAGAATGATCCTAGATTTGTACAGCAAAGGAGTAATATCTTCTGAATTATGTAAGAAAACAATCACTCTCTTGTAGATCAGAGGAGATGATATTAGGAAAATATTGGAGTAATTCAATCAAAAACAAGTAAGGATCTGGGTTGAGGGTGTGATTTTAAATACAAAAGGAAAGTAAGTCAGAAGGAAAAATATATATAAGATGATTTCACTCATATGGAATACAGGGAAACAAAGGAACATTATTTATTTGAGTATAAAACCTAAACTAAATAAAACCTGATTGCAGAATTGAGATCACCAGAAGGAGCGGGTGTGCATGAGGAGCAAGAAGGTAGGGATCCCGATGGATTATGTGGAGGAATATGGGTTGCTTGGTTAGGGGTGTGATGTGGTAAAACATATGAAGAGATGTGAAGCTGTACCTCTGAATCATGTAGAATGTTGCAAACCACTGTCCTTAATAAAAAATGATACATCTTTTAAGTAATAAGTGTAAGTCCAATTGCAAAAATAAATACAGAAAATGAGAATGACAAACAGAACATAATATTTTCAAATTACATACACAATGAATGAGTGAGGCATCTTCTGTTTCATAATATTTTTATTTAATCATGTAACTTTCTCACCTGGTAGTGTTAAAGAGTCCAAATATCACTGGGTTCTTAGGATCTCTAGTATGCAGAATAAAAACATCCTCTGAAAAATTAAAGACCATTACATTACTTAAAAATTGTCTTCTTTGCATATAAAGAGAATATATTGACATAAAATATTGTTTATACTCCACTGTAGGTTGTATGATACAAATTCCGATACACACACAATAAAACCAAATCATAACAGAACGAAATGCTTAGCTATTCAGGGTGACTTTGAGTTGAGCCTCAAGGAAAGACCCAGAGGAATTGACTCTACACTGAGATGTTTCTTTTTGTTCTTGCAACTCCTTTGCTCCCCCCAAATGGACCTGACCAAAATAAAGAATACAAAAACTTGCTCCAAGAGATGATCTGTATGTGTACACAAAGAAATACTACTTAGGTCCTTTTTTTCCCCTTTCAAATATAGAAACTCTTGTCATTTCTAGCAACCTGGATGGAACTGTAGAGGATTATGTTAAGCAAAATAAGTCAGAAGGAAGAAGTCAGATATTGGATAGAGTCACTCTGATGTGAAATATAAACAAAGGTTTAGACAAAACTAAATTAAAAAAAAAAAAACAAAACTAGGAATGACTATAAAATCAATGGGGAGAATACTGGAGACCAGAGAGTAGAGGGGGCCCCATGAACTATGGTGGTGGATAATGGAGCCCTTGCGGTGTGTATGGTATGGTAACATGTTTTTGAAGAGGTATGTATCCTACCTTTCAACAATATACAGTGTTACAAACAAATGCTACCTCATAAAAATAAAATCAAATAAATCAGGAAGAATCAGTCAGATAGAAGTCAAATACTGTAGAAAATAAGTTTTATATGTCCTACAGTAAAGGTTACACATGAATGAATGAATAAAACTGAATTCTCCCAGTAATTACCTAGTTCATCAAAATATGTATCAATTCCATTCATTCCTGGTACTGAGCAAACCAATCTTGCTTTCAGGAAAGTGGTCCACTTATTCACTAGTATTCTCTGTCCACCTACATCATTCTGAGAAAAATAAAAAGCAGGTAAATAGGCATCTAAAGAACTTTTAACCAATAATGGTTTTGTGTAATGAAAGTTTCAACTTTTTCATAATGTATAAAATTTACCATAATTTTTAAATATCACAGAATCAATTTCATATAAATTTTTTTCTTTAGGCATCCACAATCTGCATTGTTAGTGTGCCTTCCTTCTGGTCCATTAAATATAGGCATTTAATAATGTTAATAAAATAGTCTGTCCTAAATAAAGAAGTGGGTTTTATGATACACTATTCTTTGTTACTTTACTCAGAAATAATCTCCTTATCTTAGAAATATGAAAGCATCCATTCATTTTGCTTCATCTAGAAAAATAAAGGTGGAAATACACACACAAACAAGCACACAATATATAGTTGAACACATATACATGTACCAGATAGGAAGGTAAATAGACACATACACATTCACAAACATATATAGACACACATGGACATAAACCTAAATCTCTTTTTTAATGTATTCAATGTTAAATAATGTATATCTGCAAGATATTAGCACACTCTCTCAATATATATTTCTACTTAATCTGGTTTTTAATGTTCCTAAACAATCTACCTATACATTCAACAAATTGAAGACACTTTCTACAGAGTTGACCACAGAAATCCTGAGATCTATAGCATAGAATGGGGACTAAAAGAAATTAAAAAGATCGGACTATATTAATTTTCTTTAGATGGTATGCACATCTGTGTCAGAAGAAATCTAGACTATAGACTATTTCTTTCAGCATAGCTTTGAAATGGAGAAAATTATGCAATATGTAAAGCTCTTCTAAGAGAAAACTTTGACTAAATAAGAAGATTAGAGAGTAAATACCATTTTAGTCTACAAGATACCAGAAATATTATAAAGTAGAAAACTACTATAAAGTCAACAAAGACGTATCATAAATCATGAGATAAGTAAGTATAATGAGAGAAATGCAATCCTCACCACACAAAGTCTCCCGACTCGGGTATAAATTGCATGGGCATTGTTTTCTGCCTCCAGGGCCTTCTCAGTAAAAAAGAAATATATTTTGTTGTCATCTTTGTCTTCATTGTCAGGTATCATATATGAACCTACAAATTTTGGTTCTATAGAAAAAATAAAAGGTGAAATACTAATTACAACAAATAAGTTTTCTATTAATCATACATCACATGAGTGTATATGTTTAACTTTTATCGCTTTTTTTTAAAAAGATTTATTTATTTATGCATACAGAACTGCGATACAGGCCAGAGGTGCAGGGGTCGTGAGAGGATTCACCAGAGACAGAGTGGGGAGCAGAGTAGGCAAATCGAAAATGTACACTGCTGAGGGGAACAGCAGGCAAAACATTAAGTCTGCTGCACCATGTGGGTCACCTCCGGGGCCACCAATTGAACTTGCATTGAAGTGGCTGTGGCTAGATTGCAGTACTGGTCTTAACCTGTTGGGCCAGCAGGGAGGACCCAACTTTTACCATTTTATGAAGAAATGTTTTCCTCAAGATATTGTAATAAACTTTGAAAATTATGTAGATATGTTTTTTCTGTAAATCAAAAATTTTAGAAATATTTAAAAATTTAAAAATTTAAAATTTACAGAGTCAGGGAAGGAAAACCAATTTTGTGTAAGCTATATAATAAATGAAAAAATTCAAAGGACAGTTGGGGGCTATTATTTTGATAATCTAACATTATATCTAGGTAGTACATTTTAGAAAAGAAGTCTATCATTTTTCAAATAATATAATAGTTTTATTTTTACATCATTTTGTGCCTTTTTTCTTCTCAGTTGTAATCCCCATGGGCTTCCCATCACTGTCATTATTTTTAATTCATAAATTATCTGTCATTCTAGTTCAAGGAAGAACTTTTAAATTAAAGTAGAAAATTCACTTAGATAAAGTAAGTTATCTAAGTTAATTGATTGATATAAAATTTACACATTTTAATAACATGACAATAAGGGGTGTGTACTGTAAGGATTAATGAAAAAAACTGAAAATAATGGATGTATTCATGATAAAATGATGTTCTAGTCCCTAATCCTAACAATATACCAAAATATAAACTTTCTCCTTTGCAAACAATTCTGAGTAAAAGATTAGTAATTTTTCCTTCTTTGTCTATAATGTGCAAGGTGATCCTATAAAAGCAAGCAAAGCAACCAATTTGTCCAAAATTGTACCGTTTAATAGGAGAAGACACAACTTACTGGATGAAAAGGACTTCCTTACATTTAGAGAACTTGTTTTGTTTTCTTCACTTAAATGCTGATTTTTAAGCATCTCTATGAAGGTAATACCATTTTATAATTAAACTAATCCATATAGCTAAGAAAAAAATCCTGAACTTGTAAAAGTATAAATTATATTGGTACTGTTATTACTATCAAAAGGGCAAGTTTTCCATGAGTTCTAGGCGTGTTTACATTCTAATTTACACACTCTTCCGCCTGCTACCTTACCTTTCAATAGTCGTTCATCATCATGCTCAGTGCGAATGTGGGTTAGGCGTCCCATACTCCTGAATATTGCAGCATCTCTGCCCCAGTAATCGCTATAGAGTCCAGCAAACAATTCACTGCCTACATGGAAACAGTTAAAAATAGTCACTATTTGTCTCTGATCTAAAAACAGTTCAGCAGTCATAACTTCACTAAACATATTCAGGTTTACTTTGTATAAGATCTTATAAAAATAGTATTACTTTTAAGGGCATGGATGGTTCGCTCGGAATGCCAGGATCTCAATTGTGACTACCACTTACAGGCTCTGTGAACTAGGGCAAGTTAACTGAACCTCTCTTTGCTTTAGTTTCCTTACTAATAAACAGAAAGAGCACTCAAAGGATTGTTAAAAGAATGCGGCAGATAGTAAAACCTATGTGAGTGCCTGACAAAAAAAACCTGGCTTGATTTTATTTTACTAAACGGTTAACCCACACTAGCAAGGTATTATTATAGGCATTAAATGTGAGTTGGTTACCTCAAATCCCTCTGGTAAGGAGAAATTGCTTCCATTAACAGGAATTTAGTGTGAGAACCACAAAATCTGACAAAGTTGGATATAATCTAATTAGATGTCATTTAATTTGTAAGTTTGTGGTTTAGTTAGATAGGAACGATACAGAGTCATAATTTAATCTGCAGTCAGCAAAAAGAACCCAGTTAGCAGCAATGTGTGCTGAAGGTGGCAGGCTTAACATCTCACCAAAAAATAAACCAGTGAGGTTCGGGCTCAAGAAATGACATTGTGTCTTTGAAACCAGACATTAATATAGCTTATGAGAAGGGAAAAATATTAGAAACATAATAACCAGAATTCTAAAAAAGGCCACCCTTCCACACAGCACAGGGAGCTGGTGTTCTCTTTCCTCAGCGTGACATCGCAGGAGAGCCTGGGCTGGTCTAGCACGTCGCCCCATCCTGTCCCAGGCAAACATTTCTTTCTTTTTTATTTTATAAGTACATTTTTTACATTATTTTTCATTTTTTTACATTCCAGGTAAAAATTTCTGACCAAAAAGCAAATGACAAGCATCAGCACTGGCAACAGCAACCTCAGTTTAGGGTAGTACAATTATTTCCTTAATGAGTGTCATATAACTTTTGTAAGATTTCAAGATAGATGATGACTACCCTAAGCTCACAATATTAATGCTTTTCTGTTCAATTTGAAGTGTTATTTATATGTGTACACTTTAAATGCTTTATAGTTTACAAGATTTCAAACTAAATTTGTATTCCCAATTCAATTCCCAGGCTAATTGTATAACCAATTTTAGAATCAGAATGATTAAAGTTACATAAAGCCTTAAATAAATTGATCAACATAAGGAAAAGAAATTGTGAGTCACTGACATAATGTATTTACAAAATACTTCAAAATTTTAATGAGGTTTTTTAAAAATGAGAAAGCAATCAACTAACTTGTAACCAGGACACCACCCCCTTTTTTTTAACTTAGAAGAAAAACTTAAATATCTTTTTCTGAAGTTTACCAGTTCCTTTGAGAAATATGATTTTCACTTTACTCTCTGATTTTTGGTTAGATTTGAGTTAAAATAGTTGATTTTAGTTGCTTTGTCAGATTTGTGTCTTTTTTTTTGTGGGAGAGTTCACCTGCACCATCCTATAACCACGACCCTTTTTAATGAAGCTCACTTTCAGCTAGATTAAGTGACTTACTTTTTAAAAAGTTAAAATGAATTTTTCTTTACTTCAGAATTAGAAATAGAATGAGATTTAAATTTTCTTTTTATCTGGAATTATAATTTGTTAGAGGAAAGTTGTATCGACTCTTACTGAAACAAGGTCAGTTAATCAAGTTTTTGGGGAACAGAAAGGAAAAAGCAACATGACTTATATAAAATTTGGTGAATGTTTTCTTCACCAGGAGTTTCACCTTTATCTGTGAAGAATGAGCACTTTGAGATAAATTGCATGCAGTAGTTAGGGACTTGAGCCATACATGTGATTCAATCTGCACAACTTGAATACAGATGAAAGAATTTAGTTGAATTCAATAAATGGCCTTGGAGATCATCAACTGTTGGGCAGAAATGAAGGTGCTGACCCATCAAAGAGTTAAATGACTTTCTGAATACCAGAGCAAGGATCTTTCTGAAGTGGTTTTGCTTTTAATCATAAGTTGATTATTTGCCATCAAAAAAGTAAAGACCGCTTTGAAAAGTTATTCTAAATGTTTTTTTTCTAATATGAACTGAACTGAATTATTAAACTATCATGGGCACAAAGAATACATTTATTAAAAGTCATGATAGTTTTCTTGCTTACATGATAAATATTTCAAATTTTAGGACATTTTAAAAATCTAAAATATTTCTAAGACCTTGATATCTAAAATATCATCATCATTGTTATTACTAGAAAATAATATTTATAGTAGTTCACATAAATTTTTCTGCACTCATCCTGTATGGAATATTATTGCAAGTTTACTTGTTTTAAGCAGTGCTATAAACTTTGCAAACAAGTACTCTCAGGAGCCACTAGATGGCAACCCTATGATACCTAATAATGCCATATCCAGGGCAGGTTATCAACACAAAGGAAAAGATGATATATTACCGTTTTTATTCAATTTCCCTTTTGGTAACCAGATAAAAGAAAATCATTTGTGAACAATTCAAGCAACACAATATGAACTATATGACTTAAACTTCAAAGGTGCTAACCAGGTGCTAAGAACCGTAAGGTACCTAAACTGAACCAAATGTATTTCTGTTGGAAACATAGTTTCCTCAGGAAGGAAAGATTCTCCTTTCAATCTTATTTTTATTTTGAAGAACAAAATAATTACACAGCAGCAGATAAAAATGATGTTTAGCATAATGCTTTCCTTAGGAAAAAAAGATAACACATTAATGAAAATTAATGCATTAGCATAAAACTGAAGGCACAAATAAATGTAAACCATAAAGTGAGTAAAAATACTAAACATCAATAATAATTGACACTATTTACAGTAAATAGTTCACTTCTGACTAAACATTTAATGTTAAATTAAAATTATTTAATATAGTTGGACAAAATTTGTGAATGAAAATCTTGGTTATTTTAGAGTGCAAAAAAAATAGCTGGATAAATCGTGTTTTCATGGATTGAAAAAACTTTCACATACATAGTAAAATAGTTTTAGAATTTCAATGATAAGCATAGAACTGAGTTTTTAGTTTTCTATGTTTATGGCAATATGGTATTTCATAAACTTATTTTATCTTACCCATAAATTTAGCTGGTATCTTAACTATCTTTATATTTTAAATATAAAATGACCAACCTGATTTTTATTATTTTCACTCTTAAGAGTACTGGTGCTGATGGCAATTGATGTTATATTAATGTTACTTGATGAGGTATGGTTATAGTATAAAAGTAAAAAGCATATCTGCATGGTACTTTGAAAGTAAATGTAACTTATTAACATAATCAATATTATATTCTCCATATACAGGTCAGAGAATAGTTGAAATGGCTCTGCTTTGGGAAGCTGGGAAACTACGCTCTCAGCTTTAAGCTGTTGTTTGACGAGGGCAAAACTAGATTATTGCTCTTGGTCTCAGTTGTCTGGAAAATCAGAAAGCGCTACATGTGATTTCTGGAGTCTGTCAAATGATTATGTCCTCTCTGCTGCTATTTGCCTAGAATTGTTGGTTATTTCCATTTTTTGGTTATTTAATTTCTCCATGAAACTTTTAGAAATATTTCATGAAACTTTTATTAGTTTAGTAGTCCTAGCATCGCCATAGTCCTCATGCCTGTTTGTATTTTATTATTCATCCGCCTACATTCATTGACTCCTTGCGCACCTGGCTTTCAGCCTCACTGCAGGGTAGGTTTTTAAGTATCTGATATGTTCTTTTGTCTGAAATACACAAAATGCTCAATAGACATTTGCTGAATCAATGAATGGTGTAATAAATAAGTGAATACATCTAAAATCCATATATGCTTACATGAAAGAAGTGAGGGAATCATTGGATTATGGCAATATAAAAAAGGAAAATCCACTGTAAATAATGTAAGCTTAAATGCATAATTTATCTTCTCTGTACATTTTTAGAATACAAACTCTAACTGCAGTTTCATTTAACATACTGCATAGCCTTAATATTTTATGGAATGTTTTTAAGAGTTTTGAACTTTGTATTAATTTATTTGAGCCTTTATCTACTACTTTGGAAATACAGATTTCAACTGTTAAGTCAAGCAAAAATTCTTATTAGCTTTCTTTGCTCTTCATATTTTTAAGTTTCACCCAAGCATTTCTCTACTTTATACTGCAAATGTCTACAAATCTAAAAAATGTGAGATATATTTTCTTCATGGAAAGCACATGGTTATATATTGATTAAACTATCATTTTCCAACAGAAATGTATAATTTTGTTAGAAAATTATTCTAATTTGATGAGCTATTTGGTAGAATGATTATGACAGGCACAAATGGAAATAGAAATAAAATACACTTGAGAGGATGAGGACATAAGAATGACTCATGTATTCTAATCTCTCAGTTCAGACTTAGGATGCTGGAAGAAACAAGGAAGAATGTATCCTTTTAGTAGTTATGTAGTTGTTTGGATGTTTCCTTCCTTGAGGTACTGACACATCACTTCACATTAGTTTCAGGAACATAACATGATTTGACACTTGCACATATTGTGAAATGATCACCACCATAGTCTAGATAACATCGTCCCCATTCTGTTTGGGTTTTTGTTTGTTTTTACTTTGGCATAGAGCTAGCATTAACTATCAACATTAAGAAGGAGGTTTCTAAGTGATGAAAGAAACACAAAAACATTATTTTAAATCTTTTCCTCTGTATTTTCTGGCATCAGGGGCAATACCCTGAGTTTTCTAGGTGGTAAGCCAGGGACACTGTAACCAGCATGGTCAAACTGGATTGCCAAAGGAGAGTATAACAGTGGTGAATTGGAGGGTAAGATTTTTTTTTTTTTAATTTTTTGCTTTGAGGAAATTATAAGCAACCAATTCAAATAGCTCCCAAGAGACGAGCAAGTATAGCCAGAAGCAACAGTAAGCATGTGGGTAACTGGCATTTCGCCAAATATGCGAGAACAGTAATTTTAGCAAAGAAATGACAGATTAGAGACAGGAATGTGGTAAGGGACAAAGTTTACATCTAAACTGGGATGCACTCAAGAGATAGGCCAGTACATTCTCTTGTTAAATTGATAGAGGTTGTAATAATACCTTCTGGTAGATATTTCCATTTATTTTCTAATATTTATTAAATTCTAATTTGTGCCAGAATGATCCATTCATAATCTACCCTGAATATAAGTACAGTTAATTGAAAGGAAACATTTTTATTTATATATAAAAAAAGTTATGCTATTAATTGCTTGAAAAAATCACTTAAAATTGTCTCTATGTGTATTCGACTCTTAATTCACATAATCCATAATGAGGAGATATATTCACAAAGTTCTCATTATTATGACTGATAGTACATAAAGATAATTTCTAGGGCTATAAGTTATTGTAGTTTTATTTGCTTAAAGAGAAGTAACATTGGACAAAAACGTAAAGAAATTTTAGTGACTGTAATATAATCTTATTTGTTGCAATATAACAGCCAACTCTTTCAAAGCAAATGTGAAAATATGACAGAGCAGAGCAGTTTTATGCCCAAACAATAGAAACGTGTGATGTGTTTCTAGAGCATAGTGTAGGCTCTTATAGAATGGCAGGTGTTAAATTACACTTGGAACTGGTAATACAAGTTTGGGGCAGAGTGAAATGTTAAAAAATGGCAACAGATTTAAGAGGGCAAAGGTTAAGGGGAATCCTGGTTACTGAAGTAACATCAGGAGAATATTGCAATATTACATAAAGCTTAAAAGATGAAAACAAAGGTACAATAGTTCTTTCCTGATCAAAATAACATATAATAAAATAAACTATTTCCTAAATGTAGATTTGGCCATTCACTCCTGTTAATCTGGTGCAAATTAAGTACTAAAAATCTTTGAGTGATTTGAGAGGTAGAGGCTAGGAGTGCAGTCATTTATTCTACTAAATAATTTCTTGTTTTGAGAAACTTTTAAAAACCAGGTTGTAACGTTTTGTATTGTTCAGACAGTTACTTAAGACAGCTTTACATACAGTGTTAGTAATCACATGGTAGGGTGGGGATGTGGCTAAATGTGCACTTGGGATGTGTACTTACCTGCCAGCAAGACAAATTATGTCAATACAAAATGTCACTTGAAGAGCAGCACTGAATAATGCATGGTTCTATTTTGATTATTTTGTGAATGTATAGAACATAGCTCATTAGGGAGCCTGTTTTTACTCTTAAATTCTGTTTCACATAGAATCATTATAATTCATTAACAATTCATTTCTAAATTAAATAATCAATCTAACAAAATATGTTTATTAATTTGATTTGCACCCTAGTATATAATTATTATTTAGCTTTTTAATAAGCTTTTACCCCATATGCTCTCTCTCTTTTTTTTAAGATTTATTTATTTTTGCATACAGAACTGGGGTACAGGCCAGAGGCTCAGGGGCGGTGAGAGGCTTCACCAGAGACAGAGTGGGGAGCAGAACAGGCAGATCAACGAAGTACATTGCTGAGGGGAGCAGCGGGCAGGTCAGGAGAGGTCTACCGCGCGATGTGGTCACCTCTGGGGCAGGCGGGAATCAAACTCATGTGGAAGCGGCTTTAGATTCTCAGTGCTGTACTTTAATGCTGTACTTTAACCCGCTGCGCCACCAGGGTGGGCTCCCCATATGCTCTCTTAAGTTAACTGAATTAAGGTAACTGAAAAGTGTATCTAAAGTAAAGAAATCATAAGACATTTTCTGATGTGCAAATGCAGGGATTTTTTTTTTTTTCCATTGGAGGTCTTGGTAGTTTTAAGAGTATTATGACAGATGCATCTCTTCACCATGAAAGAGCATCTTAATGTGAAGAGGCATTAAGCTTTAAGTGTCAGCTATAATTAACAAGGAAACAAGGAAGAAACAATGGTCATCTTTCTGCCAGTATTTTGTTCTAACCTATCAGCAGAGAACATATGTGGTCATAAAATACCACATTAATGCATTTTTCCCTGGTAGAGTAAGTTACCCTGAGCTTGCCAAATTCCAACTCAGGTAGCTCTACTTTTTTCCAGTCTCAGTCCCTGCTGCTTTTTCAATTGGGTGAATTATTTCTACTTCCTCTCTGTTAAAGGAGTTGCTTGCTCACATAGGTTATCAGGTTTCCAGCCCAGTGGCTGCCACATACCCACAGTGAGCAAATGGTCTCTCAAAGGTACTTTGGGATGAAAGCTAGTGGACAAATGTGAAGAATTGTATTTTCATTTCTTCTCTTTGGAGGGATTATCCTATAACTTTTGTGTTTGGCTTGGAGGGCTCTTATTTGATTTCTCTTCTGAATAAGCGAAACCACCACCCAGATGGCAAGCACTTCACATTTCAGCACAGTGTAATTTGATTTGGAAGTTCAATGAAACTCACTCAGAAATGTCCCTCCAGTAATATTTCCCCTCTTCAAAAATTCAGTTTTAAATTCCTGGTTTCATGCATAAACAAGCTCCAGGGAGGTTGAGTGGTGAGTGGCAGGTTGGCTAAAGATATATTTAACCATTTAAATGAAATGTTAAAAACAAGTGGTGCTCTCTTCTAATCTTAGTATTTCACCCTTGATGTTGGGTTTGCTGTGTAATTTTTGACATTAAATACTATTTATAATATTCTGATGAACAATATCTCAAAATTTAGTTTTTGGTTATTGGCTTAGGAACCACAGCGCATAATCCAACCAGTCCATATTAATTTTTGTGTGAGGCACTGTGTGGTAAAAGAAAGATGATGAGAAAATTCCTTCCAGATGAAATCAAATCTTCAATCTCTGAAGTTACAAAACACTAAAAACATTTTTTTTTAATTATTGGAGCCTATCACGTGTGTGTATTTTAATTCACATACTACTAGTTTACTATTTCTAACACTTAAAGCTCTTAGTGTTAGTCTACACTCAGACGCACACAGAAGTGTGCACAGGAACTTCAAGTAATATTTTCTCTCTGCAATTTTATTTCTTAGAACTATTACATCTATTTTTTTAAGTCACTGAAGAATGGAATCACTATTTGAAATCCTCATCTTACAGATCTTTTAATGTTGAAGCTCAAGTTAAAATTTTCCTATTATACACCAAAAGATTTTCTCTACAGATAAATCTACATATCTAATGGTATATATGTATTGTGATCTTCATACAACACACACAGTTAGTTGGACCTGAGTACCATGACTAGGATGGAGGCTCTTAGGGAGTGGGGTGCAAGACCCCTCACAATCAACTGTCTGGAATAGGTTAGGAAACAAACAGGATCTAAAAAACACAAGAGCATCAGTATCAGCTTTAAATCAAGCATAAGATATTTTGATTTATCCTCAGTGGCTAATTTTAAGTTTTAACCATGAATTTAGAGTAGGATGTATCTACATCTTATTTATACTTTCTATTTTTTTGCAAATAGGATGGCTTAATATTAATAGCATATAACCCTACTCTTGCAAATGTTGGAATAGAAACTTAACACATCTGTACCATGCTTATATCACAATCTCTCAACACTGAGAAAGCAGAGTGTTGGCTAAGTGCACCTATGCTACATGTCAGGGATACTCTCTTCCTAACTAAGTGTGGGAACTTATCCGTAAATCTGCATCACAGTGCTAGAACACTTTGATAAGTGTGCCACTTTTCACACCAAATAGTATAAAAGAGAAAAAGTATTTTGCTGTTTCTTAAGTGAGGTTGTCAAGAACCTTATCTAATTAAATTGAATCAAATTGAAACCTAGGTCAGACACAGTTTATCCTATTGCTCCAATATGAACATTAAGTAGTAGTTTGAGAAGTTAATTTCTATAGTTTACACTCAATGTTAGCAGAATTTAGATAACTGAGAAGTTCTTAACTGAGACTTTCTGTTGGATTCTGACACAGAGGAAGACACCAAAAAGAGAATAAAGACTCTCCTAAATCACAGAGTAATTAAAATATAAAGAAATAACATTTGGAAAAGGGGATTAATTTATCTGGCTAAGTTGTATAAAATATTCATAAAACAGAATTTCGTGCAATAAGTGACATAACAAAAATGTCTTACATCAGGTATGAGAAGCTTTTAGAAAGTGACACACAATCGTGGTAACAGCTGCACTTTTTAGAATCAAAATGGCTCAGGTTGACGTGTCTTAAAATTTATATTACTGGTCCCAGAACCAACAAATAGATAGGAGAAGGCAATATATACAATATACACATAGCAATCCCCAAAGAATCCCACTAAAGTGTCAAAATCAATGTGGCTACCAGCGGACATCTCTGACGAGGATAATTACCAATTAACGTGGAGACAAAAGAGGAGCCGGGATCAAAAGGGCACCTGCCCCTTCCCCTCTCAGATCTGTGTGATTCCAGGTGAAACAGGGGTTCCTTGAAAGAAAACCGGAAAACCCATTAGGGATTTGTCAACTTTAGTAAGACTCTAATTGCTCATGCAAAAGCAGGAAATTTTGACTACTTCTAAGTTAGGTACGGTAATAGTGAGTAACATCATGTTATTTAGGAGCAAAATGGGTTTCATAATACATAGGTTTTCTCACTCATCTCAAAAATGTCTGTGATGAAATGAAAGAAATTTTCAGTTTTTAACATTTGATCAGACAGTTTCATTATTCTTACATGCATCGATTAAATTTTCCAAAAGAAATAGAAACTGGCTGAAAAAGGTATTAAAAAGTGATGAATATGGAATTTGGTTTCCTTACCATCAAAGCCATTAGCAATTTTTATTAGTATATAAAATAATAAAATTGTCTATCAATAATTCAGAATATTTATTACTAATCATTTTTATTTTTCATCACATACCCTTTCAATAAACATCTAATAAGCATTAAGAGGGAGACTGTTACATCCATATATATGATGTATTAAATATATATGCCCAAATAAATGTCATATGATGAGCAATTATTTTCTTCGGTTTCACACAAATCAGATATTAAAAGTATTTTCATGAAGACCTAGAAGCAAGTAACTGCATAACTTTTCTCTCAATGATCTCGGATTTCAAAATGCTCTTTAATAGACAGTTTTAAAATTAATTTCAATTAAATAGTTCACACATGATTTGAGTAAGAGAAAATCAGTTTGTAAAAGCAACAATAAAAATCAATATTGAGTTGTGTAGGAAATAAACTATTATGCAACAGAACTTTACTGATACTGGTCTCCATAGTATTCTTGAGTAGCCCTGCACATTTGTGAACCATGAACCTAAAATCCTAAAAAGGCCAGAGTAACCTCTGAGATCTGCAAGCATTTCTCTTGAACTTGATCTTGGCATGCTACCCACCTCATTTACTTCACATTACCAGTTCTAGCCTTGCCTTTCTTTCTCTTCCTGCTATCCTAAAATTGCCATTGTAATCTTCCCCAAAACCTTTTGTGTAAAAACATATTTCACCTGATTCCTATAGTTCTCCAGTCTCCTCCCTAAAACTAAATCATACCCTATAAGACAAACGTGGCCTTCTGATACAGTTAAACTGATAATTTTAACCAAACGAAAGTTCTACCTCTTTAGACACAATGCAATACTAAGAGAGCAAGAATGACAATAAATAATATGAAACATATTTGTGTTCATTTTTCTACAGATTAGACATTTTCAATGATATGAGAAGAAAATAAGTGTTTCTTACAAAAGATTGAATTATTGATCTACTCAGCTAACACACTGAAGGGATTTCATCTAAATTTGCAACACACACTGAAAGCATCAGGAAGTGATCAAGTCTCTGAATATAATACTTGTTTGCCCCTTTAGTCACTGACACTTGAGAAATCAGGTAGAACCTACATATTTTATTGTAATCGTTTAACTTTAAGCTGTCAAGTCAATGCCAGAGTAACTAAGAACATAAAATTATCTTTCACTTACTAAATCAATGCTTTATAACATTGTAAAAAATGATAGAGCATGTTAACTTTAAGAATTCTAAAACTGAGAGAATTTCAGAATTACAAGAATTACTAAGATAGATAAAAGAAATAAAGCTATAATTTTTTTGAAAAAGCACATTTTGTAAGCCTAAATAATAAATTAAATTTGGAGGCTACTTATTGATTTGTGAATTTCAGCTTGTGTCCAAGGTATCCAGGATCTAACACATCAGTGTTTCAATTTAAGGAAAGTTGGCTGAATGCATTCATTATTACGAATTTATAAATTTGTATTCACAAAAAAAGTTTATATGACCTTAACATTTGAGAATAATTAAGGAGAAACCAGAATCATTCTGGGAATTGTTTTGCTTTGTGTGAGGACAATTCTTTGCAAGATATACTTCTATTTGACACTGAGAATGCAGAAATATTGAATATTAAGCACGCATATATTCTCAGTGACCTATGTCTCAGGTACACATTCATATGCACCTGACTGAATTCTTCTTACCTTTGTCCAGAAGACTTCAAATATCTACCTGTCTTTTATCTGGTTAATGATTACTACCTCAAAAAAAAATCATTTAAAATTACTAAGTGCTTAATGACAGATGAGTAGATGAGGATTATGCCGTATATATACGCAATGAAATATTACTCAGCTTTATAAGTACCCAAAGGGCTCTGTTGGAGGAGTACGATACCATGGTGGTGGGTGTGGTGTAGAAATATGTATCTGAAGAGGTGTGACCTTGTACCTTTGAATTATATACTGTGTTGGAAACCAATGTTATCTCAATAAAAAAATAAGAAAAAAATGAAAGAAACATTTCTGTGCTCTTTTATATCACTATGAAAAATACATATTTTGTTATATCTTAATTTTTAAAATCCATGTGTTTTCAAGATATGTGAAACAGTCGCCATGGACACTTTAAATATCTTGCAATTTTGACAATTATACATCATCAAAACTGAAAAAAGTGCATGTGTTGTGCAGTTTCTAATTTTCCATTAAAAAATAGTCATTTCATCCATACAGAACGCCAGGTTAATACACTCCACTGTTAATTATTAAGAAAAAAGAAATTATCAAATCGCGTTGTAGGTTGTACTACTTACGGAGCCTCAGATATGCCCACATCCTAATCCCTGGCACTTTTGAAATATCTTTCTTTGACATTCAAAAGGGCAAGCTTATTATAAAAGCAAAGGACAGGAAAGTAAAAGATGCTTGCACACACCTAGGGTAGGAAGAGGTACCTGAAATATCTTATTTAACATGGGAAAGTGACTTTGCATGTGTGATTAAATTAAGGACCTCCAGATGGCCAGATTACCCTGAATTATACAGGTAGAATCAATATAATCACATGAGTCTTTCAGAGCCATAAAAAAAGAGATGATGAGGACAGCGGAGAACCAACCAGAGTGATGCAACATCAGGAAGGGCACACCTGCCACTCATCACTCACTTTGAAGATGGAGGAATGGGGCCCTGAGCCAAGTACTGTTTGCTGCCAAATGGTTCTTTTTGAAATGTGTATTTCATCTTATTCCTCTGCTTGGAATCATTTACTGACTTCCAACAGACTCCACAGAACAAAGTCAAAAGCCTTTAGGATTTTAAATGAGCAACTTTAAAAATAGGTACACCCTCGATCTCTAATATGGTACCCCCCATAGTTTGTGTACCAGTTCTTCCCAACTATGCAGCATTTTGATTATGTCTTACTTGGGCTTGCCAGTATGTTTAGATAATAATGCCCATATAATAAAGATTTAGCCAAACATTTTCACCCTCAGGAATCCTGTTCTGATCATTTAGCCTACACTATCAGATTCTTTTCCTTTTTTTGTGTGTCCTCCCTAGCACATAAACATCCCCTTCATACCCATTGACTTGTCTGCATGATTAGTTGGAAGAGAGCATAACACTAATTGTTGACCCCCTGTATTAACTGAAATAGCTGGCACATAATAAATGCACAGCTACTTATGTTATTTAAATAAATGTTACCTTTCCAGAAACAAATTGTCTTCTTATCTCTTTTCTGTATGGCTCTTGCCTATTTTCTTATAGATGTCAAACAACTCAAAATATATAGCTGCACGTATGAATCCTGATTTAAAAGTAGATAATATGTACAAGTTCTTACACAATACAATGTTGTACATGTTTACTTTGTTTTTTTTTATATCAACATAAAAACATCATGGTTCTATGTTTTCTAAATTTTGATTGATATCAGCTTTGGGTTAACTGATTACATTGCTAGAACAACTAAAGGAAGAATAGATACAATCTTTGTCCCTGTAGTTATTCAGCAGAAATAATATAATTTTTACATACATTTTTAAAATTCATGATGAACTCTTGTCAGGATCAATGTATTAAAGATTAGGATGAAAAGAACATAATTTAATATCTCATGGCAGTTATTAAAAGTAAAATTAAATGATGAAGAATTATGACGATGATTTATTTTATCCCCAAAGGCCTTATTTATGACAGTGTAACTTGAAATATTGATAATATAGATGTGACATGTAGATACAATAATATGTTAGATAAGACTTCCCTCTTTCCACATGACAGATTTTTTTTTTAATGGAAAAGGTATTCTCTTGATATTGTGCAGGGTAGTCATGAAACTTCAATATTTAATTCATAGTAAACAATGACTTAATTTTTAACAAATAATTGACTTTACAGTTGTTTTTAGTAATTCTGTTGATCTTTGTTTCATTAATTTAGGGCAGAGACTCTTTGTTAAGCTTCCTATGACAGAAATATACACTGACCCAATTCATCTTAATTCCACAGGACACAATATATTTACAACTTTATAAAACTTAGATTTGGAAATTTTTATTTACTTTTTAGATTTGGAAACGTTTAAAAATGTGTAAAAACAAAGAAAATTTACCAGATATCATATAGGACTGATTTTCTGCTGGAAAGCAGGTAGATTCCAATTTTTATTTTTTTGGTTTGCATGGATCAAGTCAACTTCAAGACTAAACAGAAATTCTAGAATAAAATTTCTCACACTATTTTGAGAGTTCATTATGGTCATAAATGTACTGTTTAACTTAGTGCACAATCCAATAAAACACTAAGAAGCAAGTAACATAATTTTCTTCAACAAAGTGGAATTCAACAGCCAAAACCAGAAAACTTGAAGCATGATGACATTGTCAATGACCCCAAAGCAATTGTGTTTAAGGTTCAAGTAATGTGTAATGTTGGTGTTCAACCCTATTGAGAATGTTGGTCACTACTTACACTGGCTTTCCATTATCTATGTTTTAACAGCTGGAATTTCTGCCTGAGTGATGGGGCTTAAATTTACAAGACATTGCTAGTATTAGCAGTCAGGGCTGTATTTTTTTGTTTCATGTGATACAGAGAACTATTTCAATAGGTCCTCCTGTGCTTGAGAGAAAGCAGGACATTTAGTTTACAAATGTGGGCAGAT